CGATTAATGAATCTTACCTTTAAAAGTGGATTGTAAAAAACAATGGTAAAATTTAAATGTACAGGGCTGAAACCGTTTAAATTACCCTAGTGATGAATTTTTCGTTGTACCCATACCAATACGAGGTAAATATGACAAATAACAATATAAAAAATTGAAGACTGCAATTAGTTATAACGTTGAGTCTTCCACCATGCATTAATACTTCTGATATTAAACACCAGAGCTGCAATACCATTCATTTTTAGGTCAATTAAATTTTTACGCTACCAATACATTATCACCTTTTGAGAATTTAAGATTTCTTACGCTTAATACCATACATGATAGATATATAAAGAATACTATTTTAACCCATCTCATTTTCATTTTTTTGTTTCCAAAAGGCCAATGACCAGCCATACTTAAAAGTGTAATAGGAAGGTACCAATTTTCCCTGAGTAGGATTTCTATGTCAGAATCACTAAGTAGTGGATTTTGATGAAATTTATTTATTTTTTTAGCGGAATATGACATATTGAAAATGGAGCGACGTATCATGTTCGTTTTGAAAAAATACTTAAAATGCGCGAAATACAATACTTAAATTCTGGTATGAAAGAAAAATAAGATACATGTAAATTGTACGAGTTTTATTAGAATACTACTATTAACAAAGTAGATATCAGAGACGTATATTACAATAAATATAATAGTTATTTATGTAACAAGTGCCCAAAAGGCGTTTTTGGGCACGAGTGTGCGGAAAAAGACACGAGTGCCGGCCATGCCGGCACGAGTGGGTGTTTTTTCCGCACACTGTGCGCAAAAAGCTGGGCACGTGTTGCATACATTATTTTATGCAATAGTAGGCGAAAAATACGTTCATTTAAATGAGGCGTTTTATCGCACACCCGTGTCCAAAATGAGGCATTTTACCGCACACAAGTGTCCAAAAACGCTTTTTGCGCACTAAAAAATGTCTTTTTTCGCACATTTTTTAGTGCGCAAAAAGCGTTTTTGGACACTTGTGTGTGGTAAAATGCCTCATTTCGACACTGGTGTGTGGTAAAATGCCTCATTTTGGACACGGGTGTGCGGTAAAACGCCTCATTTAAATGAACGTATTTTTCGCCTACTATTGCATAAAATTTTGTATGCAACACGTGCCCAGCTTTTTGCGCACAGTGTGCGGAAAAAACACCCACTCGTGCCGGCATGGCCGGCACTCGTGTCTTTTTCCGCACACTCGTGCCCAAAAACGCCTTTTGGGCACTTGTTACATAAATAACTATTCATTTTTCTTTTCATAGAATGGTTCAATAATAATAAACAAAAAGAGCTACACAATAGTACTACCTACTCAAGTGTAATATATATGCCGTGTAATCCATCGGTCATGCCATGAATTTGTTCATTTTAAAGGAAAAAATTATAAAAACGATAAATTGTATAAATAAATAAAAAAGTTACATTTCATTTCGATCCACTCAGTCGTATCTTTTTATGTAACTATTGATATTAAAGCCATGATATAAGACATTGTCAGGCGTATAATCTGAAAAAATTCAAACGTTAAGTCGAGGAAAAAAAAATCAAGTAATTTGTCGAACTTACAGAGGTGCATGTTTCAAAATTGAATGGTACATTTGGTGGAATAAAATAAATCACGGTTGATTTCATAGATCTGATCATCATGATCTGCAAAAGACCCCTTACATTTGGAGAAAATTTATACCATTCAGTGAAGTAACTGTTGAAATACAAACATAAGTATTGATTAATGTTACAATACCATTCGCAGTTAGAAATGGTAACTACAATTTTTTACTACGCTTCTTATTTAAGTACATAATTGTATGATAGAATATCAATATGCAATTATAAACTGATATTTACCAATTAAAACATATATCATTACTCGCAGTTGATAGTTCTTGGGTAGGAAAGATCAATACTATCAAAAACTGTACTCCAACGATTAAAGCAAAGCCCATCTTTAATGCAAAATTGAAGTTACTTTTCAAATGTACAACCATCTAACCGAACATAAAATTACAAGCTTAGTTTTGCCTTGAAGTATAGCATTAGATTCTATGTTATTGATAACGTACCATTCCGCCAGTAAAAGTCAAGTTGCATGTTAAAGCGAAAAGACCAAGGCGATAAATAGGTTTAAACAATTTTACTAATGAATCAGCTGAGCTGAAAATTTTTACAAGGCAATAGCCGAACAATAAAGCTATAAATTTAATAATTTTCATTTCATTACAAATTATGGAAAAAAAAATAATTTACCTTAATACACCCTGATGTTTTTGAGCTATTTTTGATACGTGATAATGAATTGATTTTTGATCTTGCTTCACGAAGAATCTCTTCAATTCAGACGAATCATACGGTTGTTCAAGAAGAATTCTAAGTACCATAAAAAAATTAACCTTAAAAAATCAGTTAAAAGAGATCAATACATATGAATTAATTTTGCATTTCTGTTACCCTATGTATCGAAATTTTGCAATAAAAAATAAGGTCGTCGTAATTATTGTATAAGCGCCTGCAGAAAATATAATTGCAACTTCGCTAACCAATATAAGGGATATAATAAATAGATGGACTAAATATTCATTTTCAATATTTTCCGTTGTTAAATGAATTGCCAATTGCATTTTGTATGTATCGACCCCAAGCAAAATATTTTCTATCAAAGGTAAAACTACTGGCAATGTAGTATATATAATAAGGCTGATGGATACCAAAGCTTTCACAATACAACAATATAGTTCATGAAAATACAAGAATTTTTAATTTTCTATGATCATACTTACCACCAATAATACCAGAAATAAGATTAGATCGCTGAATATATTTTTTTACAAATTCTTTCTCTTCGGGACTAGATTGTAAACAAAATACGGCCATTTCATGATAAATGAATCGTACCTTTAAAAGTAGATTGCAAAAAACAATGGTAAAATTTAAATCTACAAGGCTGAAACCGTTTAAATTACCCTAGTGATGAATTTTTCGTTGTACCCACACAAATATAAGTCAAATGTGACAAATAACAATATAAAATTTTGAAGAGTGCAATCAGTTATAATATTTAGACTCCCACCATGCTTTAATACTTCCGATATTAAACACCAGAGCTAAAACATAATTCATTTTTTTAGTTCAATTCAATTATCACTCTATCAATTTAATAATTTAAGATGTTTTCTTACGCCTAATACCATGCATAAAAGATATGAAAAGAATAAGATTTCAACCCATCTCACTTTGCTCGCCCTGTTTCCAAAAGGCCAGTGACCTGCTATTCTTAAAATTTTAACAGGAAGGTTCCAATTTTCTTTCAGTACGTTTTCTACGTCAGAGTCACTGAGTAGTGGAGTTTGATAAAATTCACTCATTTTTTAGTGAAGTAAGATATTTTAAATATTAAGCGATGTAATCACATGCTGATATTGTAAAGCACAGAATCCGCAAACTACAGAAATCTACTACTGGAATTGAAAAAAGTTGGTTTTATATACATAATACAAGTTTTATTGAAGCATTAATCTATTGTTATTATAAATAAAGTACGTGTAAGGGCAAGTTATTCGAGTATAAAGAAAATTTTTTTCCTTTTTATTTTTGTTGAATAATTCAACGATAGCAAACAAATCGAGTTACACAATAATGCTGCCTACTTATTTTAAAAATTCTTTTAAGAGAAAATGTTAAGCAACCGAAAATCACTTTAAAAAATTATATTTATCGATAAAATTTAAGTAAAAAGCTTTGTTTTTATTTAAGAAATAAAAAACTGTGGAGATCTCAAATTAAATGAAAAAATTAAAAAGTTATATTTAATTTTGTGTTTCAAAATTGAATGATATATTTGGTGGAATAAAATAAATCACGGTTGATTTCATAGATCTGATCATCATGATTTGCAAAAGACTTCTGACCTTTGGGGAAAATCTATACCATTCAGTGAAGTAACTGTTGAAAGACAAACATTAATACTTATGAATGTTACAATCGCATTCTCGGTATAGAAGTAAATACTAAAATTTTTTTAACAAGTCTTTTTGATGTACATAACTGTATTATATATTATAACGTTGCAATACTACATTAAATTCTATTCTATTTACCAATTTGTATGTACATCGCAGCTGGCATTTGATAATTCTTGAGTAGACAAGGTTCCTAGAATTAAAAACTGTAACTCAGCAATTAACGCACCTTCCATTTTCAGTGCAAAATTGAAATCACTATGCATATGTATCACCATCTAAATCAGCATGAAATCACAAGTTTACTTTTGTCTCACATTGAAAAATTCTAATTATTCTTAACTTACTATGCTACCAGTATATCAAGTATATCAAGAAGACTTCAAATCATTAAAATTTAATTCAAATTTTGCACAGCTATTCATGGTAAAATTTATATTTTTTATGATCAAGTGGGTTAAAATTACACGCTTTTTTACATTATAGAATGGTTTATACCTTCAAGAATGAGCCCTTAAAATTTTTTTGAATGATTGAATTCCAAGCTTAAATTATTTTGGATATGAAAATGGTTTAAATCGTACCTTTTTCAGCTCCCAAAAGTAGAATTCTATCATTAAGAAAAAAAGTGTACTTTAGCACGTATTGATGTTGACAAGTTACTGAAGAAAATTGGTTATAAATTGATTTTTGATCTTGAATTACTAAAAATTTGTTGTCCAATGGCGAATCATGCGTTAGTTTTAGAAGAAGTCTGAGTCATTCAACGAAGATAACCGTAGAGATTAAGTTATTAGTGATAAATTTAAGTAAAATAATGTATATCACTATTACCCTATATAATTAAATTTTATAATGTAAAATGAACTTGAAATTATGATGATAAATGTACTCCTGCAGACGTTACAATAGCCATTCCAGATAACGCTACGATGTTTACAATGAATACATAAAAAACATGTTTCAAAAGTATCTGATGTAAAATGTAATGAAAATTCTGCTTTTTTGTTTCAGTTCCGAACAATATTTTTATTACCGAGGGCATGACTACTGGCAATGTAATATACACCAAAAGGCTGACGGTTATGGTACTTTTCAAAAATTAATCAATTAAAATAATTATTACTTCAATTTTTTATTGTCATGCTTACTTGCAAATAATTTTAGAAATAAGATTAGAACAGTGAAAATTTTTGTCGAATAATTTTTTTTCTTCGTGGTTAGATTTTAATAAACTTTTGGCAACTTCTCGAAAAACAAATCGTATCTGTTGAAGCGAATACATATCTACAATTAGTTTAAACTGTATAGTATCGAAATCATCCGTGAACTTGATAGATTACCTTGTCGACATTTTTTTATATAATCCAAGTACAATAATTCCACTAACGATAAATGATAAAATACAAATTTGAAGAATGCAATCAGTTATAACTTTCAGACTACCATCATTCATTTTTACTTCTGATATTAAACGACAGAGCTGTAATAGAAATCGTTTCTGATTTAGATTTTTAAGTTATTAATAAAACATCTTTTGAAAATTTGAGAATTTTTTCATACAGTTAATATTTGTTAGTAAAATGTAAAAAATCAATTGTAGCACAGCCCCTATCAGTTGTTTTTTTCTATTTCCAAAGTGCCAGAAACAGGATAATTTTAGAAGTATAACTGTGATGTACGCAACTTTCATAATTACAATTTCTACGTCACGGTCATTAAGAAGTCGTGATTGTTAAAATTTATTTGATTTAGCTGAGTGTATGATTTTGAAAATTATGCAACTCTCACGGAAAAAGTACTAACAAGGACAATCGTCCATTACCCTTTTTTAGAGGTTTCTAAATTTTGCAAGAAAAGCATCAGATTAGCGTCTTATAATATTATAAAGGGGATAAAAAAATAAAGAGTAAAAAATTATGAAAAAATTCAGACAGATTCTTTGAAAAATTTCAAAACTTTTGATCGGTGCATTTTTTGATTTAAGTGCTCCTATCTTGATATAGACAATCTCAACGATTTTTTAATAAAAGAGAAAACCCCTTTTAGCATAGGGAGCTTTATTATTAGGTTCCTGGAGACCCCAAACATTTTTTGGTAAAGATCCGGGACCCGAAGGTGTGAAGGTCTCCTTGTAAGCTATTTTGAACTTGAGTCTATAGTACTGAATAAAAATCAGATACATATAAATCATGCAAATTGCATCGAAATATATTTTTATTGTTATGCACAAAGTAGAAATGAATGTCATCTATCATAATAGAAGCAAAAAAGTTTTTTTTATTGAATAATTCAATAACAACAAACTAAACCAGGTACATAATAATATTATTTTACGTCACATTTATTTTTCCAGGTAATTCTGTTATATAATGTTAAACGATTTAGATTCTACTACACCAACGAGACTTGTTAGGATCTTCATTATTTTAATAAGTCTTTATTCGTAGCAAGTGACGCAAAAATTGTTCTAATTACTGCTCTTATTGAATTCAATGAAATTTGATTCATTTTCACTCATAAACCAAATATATTCCTCTAAATATTCAAACATTTTGTCCACGATAAAAGTTTCTTATAGGATCATAGAATTGTTCAATTATTTATTAATCACACGATGATTAATATATAATGATGATCGTTAAAAGTGAAATGATGACCTGGGTCGATCGCATGCAAAGTCAGCATAAGTATATAAAAAAAATCTTATCGATGACTCTGTTTGCCCAGCCACTTTGATCAAATTCGATACTACCCTTGAAATTGCCATTAGGAGTGCGATGTGCGCTTCTAGATAATACAGCACGCACTCTCTCGATGTTTATATGATTGATTTTTCAATCACCGCACGTCTAGCCAATCGTTCCCGGCTTTCAATAATAACCTTTTGTATTTAATTATTCTCGAAGCTCATAATGTAACGCACATACGCCTATCATACGTATAATCCTGCGCGCCGACAATGATAGTACATATGCCGCTGATCTCGCGCGTACCAATGTGTACATGCGCGGGTATTTTGGCCGAGCGTCCGATTGATTTATAATAGCTTTTGACAATGAATGCAGCCAGCCGCACACGTGCGCGATTTCGTATTCACGATCGCGTATTAACCTAGATTTTGCCCGCCTGGACGATTCCTCCTCGCGTTGCAACGACGACGACGATCTAGTTCGAGAGAGAGAGGCAGCGCGCTCATTGTGCATAATATCGATTTATCCATTGTGTGTCTGTATATGCGTTATACGTATTTAATATGTAAGCGCGTTTGTGTGTGCGGTACGTGATTTTGAATTAACGAGCCGTTGAAACGATAAAACTATCTTGACGTTTCGATAGAGAGAGAGACATTTGAAGGTCGGTATTTCGTCAGCAAAAAGCCTCCACCTCGCCTTATATATATATGGGCTCGTGCGCGCGCGCACACCCTTTTAAGCGACGAAAATAGTATTGTGCTGCGAACGGTGCAACGAATGCGTATGTATGTATTGCAACGCGAGCTTGGATAATTTTTTTTTTCTTTTTTTATTCCTCCCAAGGTGGATTGAGAAATGTGTTTTGATAGAAAATCGAATCGACGGCCAATGCCTTCATTGACGTCTCTTAATAAACACGTGGTCGAGTGCTGCTTGCCTGCCCGCATGATCAAGTGGTTTAGCACGTCTAACCCGCGCGCGCGCGGCCAAGAGACTTTCGATACACGACTCTATATAATTACTGAAAGTACTTTTTGTCGTGTGTATTCGTTTCGTAGGATAAACAAGCGGACCGTTTATATGGAATGATTTACGGTTTGTGTAAATAAAAAAAAAAAATGATAAAATTGCGACCGTTCGAGAGTGCGAAGTTGATGCCGCCGTGCCGAATAGTGAAAGTGTCCACTCGGAGTATTTACATACATATAATATATTATAAACATGCATAATATTATATATCTCTTTAATTCGGTGAAATTGCTCTTCACCTAGATCCGATATTCGATTTTTTTGCCTTCGGAAATTCATTTATATACACGCGGGTAATTCCTATATAGTTTTTTAATCGTCCAAGCGTGTCGCGTTATAAGCACTTATATGCTAGTCGTTTAAATTATTATCATCATCAATATTATTATTATTATTTTGTACATGGAAACGTCGTCGCGCAAAAGAGACAGCGCCATACATTACACGCCGTATGCGAGAATGAATTAAAGCTGCGAAAGCTTTAATAACAGCTGATCGATCCTAAATATTATTACTTATATTCGTATTACGGCTGCAACGGCAACAGCAGCATATAGATCTCTCTTTGGGATTTAATCAACAAACTTAAGTAGACTTCGTTTTTATATTATATATATTTTATAAAGACAGAGAGAGAGAAGAAAAAGGATAATTGCCATCAAAACATTATACATTTTATACGTAGGCGCACTCTCACTTTCTCGTTTCACTGTCGCGCAGCTGAGCGTACACAACACACTGCATACACACGCGCCTTTGCAGCGGCAGCTTTTGACGTTTACACTCACACATAAGACGCGTATAGCTAGCTGCTGCTTATGTGCGATCTCGCTCGGAGAAAGAAAATCGCATTCTCGTGCTGTACGTATAGGTCTGCAATATTATCGTGCCGTCGTCGTTGGTATATGAGCGCGTCCAGCATAAGTCGGCCACCCTGCGCGATTACGGCATTTTTGGCCGAAAGTGTCGTATGTTTAGCTCGCTCGGAAACGTTTAGCAAGAGTCAGAAAAAAAATCCAAACACATAGATCGATAGATTTTTTCCTCCTATTTCTAGTGGTGTAGCTTAAAAAATTCTTAAAAATTGATTTTGAGGTTAAAACTCGACTTGAATGTTTAAGTCCATTTTCCCAAAAAATGTATCCTCCGATTGCAATTTAAACTGCACCAATCGAAAGAGGAGGCAAAAATCTATCGAAAACGATGTTTTCCAGGATGGAGAAATGATAAGAACTATTAAAGATATCGAGATGAATAGCGCGGGACGGCGCGCGCGGACCTGTTTTCCGTGCGCCAGCGGCGGCACACGCGCGGCGCCGTGTCTTTGTCTTTTCGACTCGCTCGTAATCGCTTAAAAAAGGCTAGAAAAATGATGTGAACACGTAAATCGATAGATTTTTTCCTCCTCTTTCTGATGGCGTTGTTGAAAAAATTCCCAAAAATTTTTTTCATAGTCAAAACTTGACTTGAATTTTTAAGTCAATATTTCTTCTAGTATTTTAGTATTTTGACCTCAAAATTAACATTACCAATCGAAAGAAGAGGAAAAAATCTATCGATTTACGTGTTTAAATTATTTTTTCAGCATTTTTTTAGCGAGTCGAAAAGACATAGGCAGGAAAACAGGTCCGCGCGCGCCGTCCCGCGCTATTCATCTCGATATCTTTAATAGTTCTTATCATTTCTCCATCCTGGAAAACATCGTTTTCGATAGATTTTTGCCTCCTCTTTCGATTGGTGCAGTTTAAATTGAAATCGGAGGATACATTTTTTGGATAAATCGACTTAAACATTCAAGTCGAGTTTTAACCTCAAAATCAATTTTTAAGAATTTTTTGAGTTACACCACTAGAAAGAGAAGGAAAAAATCTATCGATCCATGGGTTTGGATTTTTTTTCTGACCCTTGGTAAACGTTTCCGAGCGAGCTAAACATACGACACTTTCGGCCAAAAATGCCGTAATCGCGCGGGGTGGCCGACTTATGCTGGACGCGCTCATATATGCGCGCGTATATATATAATAAGCGACAACTTGCTATACACATACACACAAACACGCAGGCCAAGAGAAGCGACGGCCTCGGGTTATAACCCTACATGCGCTGCTCCGACTTGTGCACGCAGGTCATCGTCCGACTCCCTCCGATGTGTGCCTGTACTTCATGCGCGTATATGAGTCGAAGCTCGGTACAACGACGACGACTCGTCGTAATATCTTCTCTCTCTCTCTCTCTGTGTACTGGCTCTGCTCCATATAGTCGCGTACTGTACTGTAATTAGCGCAAACCTCTCTCGTGCAGATGATCGATCGTCCCGATAGCAGAGAGTCCTATACTCGCACGAGAGACACACGAGTGTGTACGCGCATATATGCACGTGTTGCATTATGTTATTCTCTCATAATGATAATAACGATAATAATAATGCATACATATCGTATACGATATTATATAGACTGCGCGTTACGTACCTATATCGTATAATACGTGAGCGAGCGTGTGTGGGTATATGCGTTTCTGTGCGCGTGAAAAAGAGCGCGACTCTCTTTATACATACACATAATATTACCGGCGAGATGAGATATCGATCGTGCGACGACTACGACACACGAGTACAGCCGCACGAGTTCACTTTTGCTCTAACTCTCTGCTGCTGCTGCTGCTGCTGCTGCTTCAAGCCGGCCCATGTGAGCCGCGAGCTAGACGACGACTCGTTATTATTATTTTATAATTCAAGTGCTGCCAGCGATTCTCCGCTGCTGCTGCTGCTGCTGCTCTGCCTTCTTGCGTGTCTGTATGGGTGTGTGTGTGTGTGTGTGTGTGTGTGTGTTATGGGCGATGAAAAGCTCCGTAGTAGGCACCTAAATACACATACCTATAGAATGTAAGTGTATTATAAGTGGATGGCGGCGGCGCGCGAGAAAGTGTGTAAATATTATGAACGGCCCCGGGTTAATGGGGGATGATGTTCCAGAAGAGCAGAGCGGCTCGGAGAGGTGTCTGCGGCTCTTCGAGCTTTTCGACATTTTCATCGTTGTAAAATTGAATTCGGAGCTACGTGTACACACTACACACTTGTTATTACATTGGACGCGCAGTCATCTCACAGAGGAATTACGAAATTTACCCGAGCGTGGGATGTCATTTCGTCGCATATAAGCGAGGCACTAACATCGTTTCTCTGTACGTCGACTATATCGATGTTCTATCGATGTTCTATCGTTGCCGTCGACGCAGCGAACGACATTCGATATATTTTACGCAATTATAACGAATCCCAAGCTGTGTTTCGTCAGAGTCGTACAGAATCACGCCTATAGTGAATGTATATATACTCGACCGCTCGAGAATAATAACATTGATCCATCAGTACTATATTTATATAGTTTTGGTACTGACTGCGAGTGTGTCCGACTCTGCTCCAGTATAATATACTCAA